TTTGAGAAAGAAAGCATATAAATTTTTTGAGCAAGGCAAATTTCTCAAAGCATCAGAACTATCTAAGAAAATTCTTGGAAACAGCCAGCATAGTCCTGAAGATTAGAAATCTATTTCCCAAGTGCGGATCTGAAAATTTTGTTAACGATGTCACTTCGCAAAAACATCATACTGAATTCATTAGATTTTAGTTCAAATAAACTTGGACAATTTGGAGAAAAAGTATTAGCAGATAAGAACACCATGTTGAAAGATTTAAATCTTACTAGTAATGATCTTGAATCAGGAGGAGAAAAAGCATTTCAGTTGTACTTTGCAAGAACGAAATTTTGATTTCTTTGAATCTTGACTTGAATGAACTTAATTAAAATAAGAAAAAGCATTAGAAAACCACATTGAAATTTTAAAACTTACTGGTAATAATCTCAGATCAGAAGAAGAAAAAGCATTAACAAGTGCACTTTGTACATTAGTTTCTTTGAATTTTAAAAGTAGCAACCTTAGATTATGAGAAGAAAAGTCATTAACAGATACACTTTGTAATAATCCTTGCTAACTTTTTTGAACTTTGATCTAATAATCTTATTGTAGAGTTATGATGTTATTATATGATGAAACTGGCACAAAATTTTTCTTGCCTTTTTTTTTTTTTTTTAATTTTGATATCATTATTTAGGAGCATGTCAAATTCTTTTAGAACTTGATAAAAAAAAAATGATAACTGCAAGAGAAACTGCAATCGAATTTCACACCAAAAGAATTTTCCTTGCCAATATTAAACTGGAAATTCTTAATGAGATCTATAAATTTCCTTTCACTATTCAGAAACTTATCACAGAAGAAGTACATGCCATTGCAAAAAGACTAGAAGAAGGAAAGTACTTACCAAACCTCGCAAGTGCAAAATGCTTGTGCAGATTCTTCAATTGGTATATGTTATTATGTCACCATATTTTCTATAAACAACTTTGTGGTGCCAATATTTTAATGCCAGAAGCTTGGGCCAACTTTCAAAGAACTTTCGAAGAGGGTAGCATGGAGGTATATCAAACCTGTGGTATTGTGGAGGTACCTGTCATTTGGATATCTGCAGCAAATAAAGCAGTCGAAAAAAGCCAATCAAAAATAAATGAATTATTTGAAAGAACCTGAAACTGCTACTACAGATTGGCAGAGAAAAGCACAGACGAAGCATCACAATTCGTGGGTAATTTAGAAAAAATATTAGAGCCAGCGATCAATTGAAATTTTTGTGAACAAAAAAAAAAATAAAAATAAAAAAAAATAAAAATAAAAAAAAATAAAAAAAAAAAAGAGGTTATTGTTCTAAAATGGAATGAGTTAGAAGGATAAGCGCAAAGCATTTATTCGTTATAGGTGGTCTTCCAAGACTGAATAAGGGTTGAAAAAGATAGTGCATTTACTCAAAAAAAATATGCTAGGACAATCAAATGTACTGTAATAAATAGTGTACATACATACAAAGCTGGATTGTAAATTTTTTTTTTTATTCAAAAAAATTTTTTTCAAGCAATTTTAAGATTAATGTTTAATAAAAACCTATAAATATTAAAGTTTTTCTTAAGTCTGCTTATAAATAGTTTACTTTAAATGCTTAATTAATAAATTTTCTTTATACTTGCACACAAATTAATATAAAAAAAAAAAATTAAATATTAATTATTCACAAACTGAACAACTTATTTAAACATTTAGACTAATAAATTTTTTCATATTTATACACTGAATTAAAGAAATTAAATTGTGAATATTTATGAACCCGAATAGCTGATTAAATTAGTAAATTTTCTTAACATTTACGCACCAAACCAACGCGAATAAAATTAAATTAATTTTTTTTTAAATTACGCATTAAATTAACCCAGTGTGGAGTTCTTGCAAAATGCATTATTAATGCTTTCCCCTTCTGATCCAATATTATTATTATAAATATCTAGAGAATTGTGGTAATCTTGCAAAGTGTAAAAGTCCATTTGAATGAAGATCCAAAGAAGTTAGCATGATTTTCTTGCAAAGTGCATATGCTATTGCTTCTCTTCTCTAAGATTATTGCCCTGAAGATCTAAATTTTTTAGTATAGTATTCTTGCAAAATGCATCTACCATTGCATATTCTCTGCTTAATCAAGGATTATTAGATCAAGAATTCAAAGATGTCAATGAGATGCTACAACAAAGTGCATCTGCTAATGATTTTCCTCCTGTCCCAAGATTATTACTTTCAAGATTCAAAGAAACTAGTGTGGTGTTCTTGCAAAGTGCATTTGCCAATGTTTTACCTCTTCTAATCTAAATTTATTTTTTTAAAGATTCAAAAAAGTCAGTATGAAGTTTTTGCAAAGTTCATTTGCTAATGCTTTTTCCAAGTTTATTACTATAAAGATCTGAAGAAGTGAATGTAAAATACTTAAAATATGTATCTGCTAATGCTTTTCTGCCTTCTAATTCAAGATTATTCCAACCAAGGTCCAAAGAAGTTAGCATAGAATTCTTGCTAAGCACATTTGCTAATGCTTTTCTTCTTTCTGATTCAAGATTATTATAGTAATTATTCATACTTACAAACTAATCAAACATGAACAAATATAATTAAATATTCAATAGTCATGAATAGCTAAACTCTTTGTATTTATGCACCAAATTAACCTGAATAGCTTATTATAAATATTTAAATTAAAAAAAATTTTTATACTTATACAACAAATTAATACAAGTACAAGGAAACTAATATTCATAAACTTGAGTAGCTTCTTTTAATCTCTTAAATTAATAAAATTCTTTTGTATAACTTATTTTAGACAATTGATTAATTAATTCTCTTATACATACACAGTAAATTACAGAATTAACAGATAAAAGAAAAATAAATAATAAATTCTCTATAAATTAAACAAAATCAAAAGAAAAGCATTCTCACATAGCCGTAGCAATGCGATTTTTTTTGTTTGTCTGTTTGCTATTTGTTGCGAGTTCTTTTAATAACCAAAAGCTGTTTGTTTGCTACTTGCAGCAGAATTTAGCTAGAACTTGTTCACCTTTTTTCAAATGAGCAAGGTTTGATACATTTAAAATTTGTTATGCTTGATTGGCTGTGGTCATTAGATGATCAATTGACCTGACTGTCCCCCAGACTGTCGATTTAATTGTTACCCCGCTTTAGTAGACTCCCAAATTTGGTCATTGATGATTATACCTTATTTAGTAAAGATCATCTATCTGACTATTCTAGACTTTTCTTTCAAATTATTTCACATGCTACATTAGTTGGCTAATAAAATCAAAGAAGTTAAATAATATTTTTATTAATCCAAGAAAATTCAAAAATTATCTAGAAACTAAAAAATATAATCTTATATCTTATTTATTCGCATAATCTCAAAATGATATATGATACTTATATTGATGATTTAGGATTTTTTTTCTTTTTTTAACTTAAGCAGTCATGCTAGTACTTTATTGGAATTCTTGATACTATACAGATTACAGAGAATTTTTCTAATACTTAAGTTTAGCATCACCCAGCCACCTTATTGATACCTAAGTGTGATCTGTTGCACTACTTCAAACAGAGGTAAACTGCTTGTCTAACTGTCATCTTACAATAGAATACTATTAATCTGATAACATTTTCTTGTAGTAAAGCAAAAAAATAAAAAAAGATTTTATATATAAAAAAAAACAAAGTAAATGATAAAAGATACAAAACAAGAAATAAAAAGGAAAAAAAAAAAAATAAGAAAAAAGAAAAGTGTAAAACTTGCAATTCACAAAAAATCAGACAATTATAATTTTAAGCTTGTGTTAAGTATGAAATTTGCAATTCACAAATATCAGATAATCACAATTATAAGTCTGTGTTAGACTTGTAAAAATTATAAACTATACTAAATAAAAATTATTCTATTATTTTTCTATTTACTTAGATTATTTAAACAAAAAATCAAAAAGAAGAAAAAAAATTTCAATTTTGTCATAAAAGGTCAATATAAGATATTAGTTAGTCTGAAGGCAATATTTAACAGGTTTTTAGGACCGATATTACCAACCCATTTTTCAAATCTTCTTTTTTAGAAATTATTGATGATCACAAAAATTAACTAATAAAATTATGCATTTGTATGTAGATTCTACTTATACCATATGATAATAATGTGATCATTATTAAAGCAGAATAGATTAGTAGTGCAACCAAAATTCAGCAGATTGGCCCAAATTATGAGTTGGATTTCATTGAATTTAGCCAGCATTAAGAAGTAACAACAACTAAGTATATTACAGCAAAATTATCATCTGGCAGCTTTACTTAGTAGGTGGACCATGGTTTCATTAGTAAAATTTGGAGTGTTTGGCAAAATTAATCAATGCAAGGCCTATTCCAATACATAATTTAGGCTGATTTGCTGAATTTTGGCTGCACTGTTAATCTATCCATTACTGCATTAAAGCATTAACTAGTAAGATCTTTCAATCTTAAATGCATGTGAAACTTTATTTCAAATGAATGTGTTATTACCATATGGGGTCTTTGCTAGGAAAATTAAGTTACAGGACATATGATTTACTATATCCTGTAACTTGTTTTTTCTAGCAAAGGTCCCATATTATTAATTAAATAGCAGTCTTTATTTGCTACTTAATTCCAAACATATTTTATGTTTACAGCATGTGACGAATTAACTTCTATAATATTTAAGTTAGTGTGCAAAAGCAATCAATGTTCTAAGCAAGGCAATCCAATTCACATATATAATATTTCAGTAACAATTATGGTAGTAGTCTGGCTTTTTATCAGGATATAAATGTTATTGAAAAATATGTACAATACTAATAAAAAAGATTAGTAGAATGGAATCGATAAATCACAAGTGTGAATTAATTGCATTGAATAAACTTTATGATTATACGCAATTAAATTTTAAACTTGATCATTATATTCTTATTGAAAATTGTACATACTGTCATATTTACTCTGTTATTAAGCTTTAGCCTTATGCAATTATTGTGTAATCAATTTTCTGAACTGTCTTAGATAACAGTTAATCAATTTATGAGTTTTCCTGTCCCTATTCATATCAGAGTTTTCAAGAAATATCTTAGTGGGAATTGCATTCAATATTCATAAATTTAAAACCTTAACGACGCTATCAAATATAATAATATTTTACGATTTAATCAGTCATTCTAGCATTACTCACAAAAAAAAAAATAAGCTTATATTATAAATTTATCATATGATTACATACATCAGTGAATTGTTAATTATATATTTATAGTTATTCATAATAATAATATAAATCTATTAAAAATTATGATATAAGCTATTTTTTTTTTGTAATAATACTAGGATAGTTTGATAGAGTCTGCACCTATTCTTTTATACTGTTATATGAATGGCTTAGATGAATCCTAATCCAAATACTTATTGTGAAAACTAAGCACTAGATCATATTAATAAATATATAAATATTAATTGTGATATTTGTAATCACAAATTTTTAATTTGATAAATAAGAATCACATTGATAAAATATATGAAATAAAATATCTAATCACTTGCGCAATTACCAATATTTATAAAGACATAAATATATCTGCTTAATAATCATTTTTTACCTTAGTTCATAGCAACTTCTAATTAAAATATCTTCAAAGTTTAAAATTTCTAATGAAATTAAAAAAAGAGGTAGTTACAAATCACAAGTAAAGGCAAAACTGAATTCACATCTTTTACTAAAAGAAGAAGATAGAGCTAGGCTTAAATATTTGTTGGATATTGGCGCACCCGGTGTTGTTGAAATGGAATGGGATTTGTCTTAGAAGCATCATATTGTAAATCGGGACTAAATTCTTCAAGAAAATGGTCTTAATATTGACCCTGATGATATGTGGTGCAAATGGTCTATCTAACAATCAACCAAAACACTTATTGTTAAACAATGTATAAGTGGAAGCTATCATGAAAAAGACATTACAACTACTTCTCGAGATACAGTAACATGGTATCCTTATGTACAGTATCTTGCATTCATCTCAATTTTTCTCCGTAATAGTGAAATTTGTGGCATCGCAAGGTACTTGAAACACACTGAACAGTACTTGTCTTCCTAGCCACAATGTAACCCACTATATAGACTCTTGCCTTATGTGAAAAAGAGCACGGAAAACCTGATAAGTCTTAATATAAAAACTCCTGATATTCTTGCTCAAAATGCAAGAATCGTGAGAAATGTGTTTGAAAATCACACTCTGATTGGAAATTTTAGAACGTTACTTACTGCAATAGATATTACTAACATTAAAAAACAAATGCTACGTAATAAATGGAACATTGATATTAAACATGATGCTGCAAAAAATCTGAATCAAATTCTTGGACCAAAAGCCGATCCATCTGAACTAAAGGATACATGCTTGCATTATCAACTTCATACAAAGGACAATAACTGCCTTGAAATTATCATTTGTACTTGTGAACAACAAGACTATGTGTGGAAGTACGGTCATCAAAATCTAATTCTCATTGATGGGACCTTTGGGATCAGCAAGCACAAATTACTTTTGTTCATTATTATGATCATCGATGACAATAATAAAGGTGTTCTAGTTTCTTTTATTTTATTTACACCACCTCGATCCAATCGGCTAACATCTCCTGGATATGATAGTAAAATACTGAAGTGACTTTTTACAATTTTCCATGATAAAATTAGTGATAATTACAATCAGAATCAATCTCTAGCCACCTCAGTTACATTTAGCTCTTGTGCCGCAATGACTGATGCTGATATCAAAGAGCGAAAGCCACTAACAAAAGTATGGCCAGAGATTATTCTACTTCTTTGTTACTTTCACATCAGTCAATGCTGCAAGAATGAGATGAATAAACAATTGGGCCGTGGTGGTGGAAATAAAATAATTTTATTATGAAAAACCTTAAAAACATTTTTGAAAAGTGTCTTAGACGAGGCTTGGTTAATGAATGGTAGTGAAGAGATGGTGCGTAATTAGATTACAAAAAAAAAAGAATCATTAGAGTGTATTTATAAGGCAGAAAGCATGTCAGAAAATAAAAAAATTCTAGAAGGTGGTTTAAACTTTCTTTCTTACTTGAAAAAACAATGAGGTGAAGATCTTTTGTCTAGTTGGTGCCTTAGTGGATGGATAAATGTTGCAAAAGCCCTTGGAATTCCTTTAGAGAAACTTTTCACTATGAATAACCACCTTGAGGGAATGAACGAGTATTTAAAGAATAACCAATTAAACTGGTTTCAAAGAAATAATCGACTCCTTAGAGCTGATGTACTATATATCGCACTTGTGTGTGAAGTTATTCCTAATATCTTAACATTGCGAAACCTTGCTATAAATATTGAACGAGAAAAAGCAGAATGACGCAAAGACCTTAATATTATGGACCCATCTGATTGTAAAGTTATTATGCAAAAGTTTTCCCAAGTAGCATATTTATTCCCAAGTGTAAAACATGATAAACTTGCAAGAAAACTAATTGATATGAATAAAATAGCAAAATATAAAGTAGAAAAACTTTCTGAAAAGATCTATGTTGAAGTCAAATCTGAAACTATGCCAGGATTAATTTATACAACTTGTGTGTATGGGCAACCGACTGATATTTGCTGCCAATGCCCTGACTTTCTTCAAAGCAGAGTTATGTGCAAACATCTTCATGCTGCAGCTTTTTACATTGAAGATCTTCACAAGCAAGAACAATACTCACATTTACCTGCAATGAATTTTCCAACTTACCAAGAATCCCAAAATATTCGATCCAATGTATATGCTGATAAATTTGAAATACCTACAGGTTTTGGGGATGATGATCATGTTAGTGATGAGGATAATATTGATGATGAAAATGAAAATACTGAAAATAAAAAGAATGATAATAATGATGGTTCTACATCAACCTCATCTAAAGAAATTCTTACTTACATTAGACATATTCTTGGATCTAATACTCCAATAGAAGTGTCTCAATCGAATGCACCTACATCTACATCAACTCCACTGAAATATAATATAGTTGAGATTAATAATCTAAACATCGCTGCTATTTACCAACAAGAAATCAAAGAATTCTTGGAATCTACTTCAAAATGTCTTCAAGAATTACAGAATAACTTAATATTCCTTCAAAATCTAGTTAAATCTAAATACTCAATACAAGAACATTTTAACTATAGCGATCAAAATACTTTACTGTCTCACCTTCATAATATTGTTACCTTAGATGATTTCAAAAAAACACAAGACCTAGTTAACATTATATATAAAGAAACAGGTCACCATAAACGCATAGCTTCCGATATCAGCATTATTCCACTTGAACAAGAAAAAAAACAGCAACAAAAACCATCATATAAAAGTTAAACCATAAGATATGAATATGTAGTGTGGTTACTTATTAAATAAAATATAACCAAATGCAATGTATGCTTAATAAAACATTTATATAAATTTCTTGAAGTGAATTTTTCTATTCTTACCTATGTATTATTGTTGTATCCCATATAATATAACATTTATACTTATATACTATCTTATAATATTAGAAAGTTTTTAGTTTTTCATACGATTTATTAAAATTAATTGATCACCTACTTTTTAATTCAAATTATGTTTGCTTTACAGATTAATACGCACACATACTATTTCATTTGAAGCGTAACATTTCTAAATTATTGGTGGTTAGTTGTATACTCAAAAAAAAAAAATGCTTAGTGAAACCAGTGTGAAGATAAATATTAAAGTGTTATTAACTTTATTAACTTTTTAACTATACAGCATATATATGAAACTTTTTTCAAAGAATAAATTTATTCTACAGATTTTCTTTTTCTTAAGATGGTTTTTTTTTAATTTAATACCTCTAATGAATATTACTAAGTACTATACTGTTTTGATAATTATTTTTTCTAGACTTTATCTCCAGCTTCTTACTTTTTAAAAAATGAATTTTCACTAAAACTTAAACTATTACATGAATATGTAACTTGATACTTAAACTTTGATGGTGTAACAGTAATGGTAATGCAAGTTAAATCAAGATCTATGGTATAACACAATTTTTATTGGTTAATTTTTGCGATCATCAATAATTTCTAAAAAAGGAGATTTGAAATATGGGTTGGTAATATCAGTCAGTTTTTAGTAGCTCAAGGCATGTATATAGTCATGTTTGTATTGCTGTATTATTTTCAATCTATGTCATAAACAATCCTGTTTAAGAAGTAAACACTGCTGACTGTTTTGGTAATTTTATATGTCAATCTTTAAGAGAGGTAAACTAAATTGTTCACTTTTTACAAAATTTTTCTTAAAGAAAAAGTAAGAGTGTTAGGTAAATCAACTTTTAGCTTTTGTAAATTCTTAACTTTTATGAGTATCTCTTATAAGTTTTACAGTTGTATAGAACTAATATATCCAACTTTGTTGTTTACTTAATGAGAAACCTTGGCTTTCACCAACTACTTCTTCTATAATCCTAGAGTACTCTTTAAACTGTTATCACAAGATCGTAACTCTTTTTTAACTCTATTTCAATGTTTAACAATTTATGTACAGTATTTCAAAAAGGTTTTTATAAAGTTTAATATATTAACTATATCACTTTCTATAGTTCAGCTTTTTGAAAAGTTTGGTTCAAATAATGATTTAGGATTTGCAATCATAATTAATATTTTTTTTTTTTTTCCCTTAAGCAGTCACGCTAGTGCTTTATTAAAATTTTGAAATTACATTTGCAATTATATAAATATCCTTAACAACTAAGTCTAGCATTACCTGGCCACTCTAATAATAGCTATGTGCAACTTGCTGCATTACTTTAAGCAGAAGTAAGCCACTTGTCTGACTACTTAAAGTCCATAATAAAAGGATCTTCTTTCTTTTATGACAAGTTCTAAAATTGTTTTTTGTACTTTTTTTCTGATTTGGCTTTCTTTTTCTTTCACTTTCTCTTTTCTTTCTTCAATTACTTGCTGATTTGGTTTCCTTTTTTCTTTAATACTTTTTTCTTTTTTTCTTTTCTTTTTTTTATTCTACCTATTATTTCTTTATTTTTTTTCCTATTTGTTGACCTTTTCATATCGAATTCTTTATACTTGTTTATAAAATGTATTCCAGACTGTTCTTGCTACTACTTTTATAAACTGCTGTCTTAACTTTGTACTTAGGAGCTGCCTTAATCTGTCTTGCATTTCTTTTAGAATAAAACCTTTAATTAATGCTTCTCTTATTTTGATTTCTTCTGCTTCTGTTTTCCCAAAAAGTGTTGTATATAATACATATAGAGGGACCTGAACTTTTTTTTCTTTTTTTAACCCTTTCTAGGCTGTTACGATGATCACTTTTTGAATTCTTTTCTACAGGTTTTTTTGTCTCTTACATGCTGCCAGATGTGTCTGTGTTTCTTTTGTTTTGTTTTAGCACATTTGGCATTCTGTTGTTGTATATACCTCTGGTCTTCTTTGTTCAGTTCTTCTAAGATTGGAAGCTTGTCTATTATGTACTTTATAAATGACTTCTTCTAGTACTACTTCTTCTTATTGCATAGTGTACTCTTTTAGATATCTTTAGCCTGTTCCAAAAGTATGTTCAATTATATATCATAACTTCTGTTTCTGGTTCCAATTCTCTAATTGCTTTCATTTCTTTCTATTCTGCTCCTAATCTTGCATTTGTTATCAATTTGCATAGTAGTCTTGCTAGTATGTCAGTACATTTGTTTTCCTACTCTAAGCAGTACTCTATCTCTTCACAGCTAACTTCTCCAACCTGTATTATTTTTCTACTTGTTGTACCTTTTTTTGCTAAACTATTGGCTTTATTATTCCATCTATCTTTACTATGACTTTTAACTTTAACCAAATCTATTTGAATGTTCTTTGTCCTAATAAGCTCTCTAATTTTCATTATCCATATTGCATTCTTCTTTTTAAAGATCTTATCTTTGCAAACTTGTTCTAAATCTCTATTAATGTTTCTTATTGCTGCATTGCTATCTGTATAAATTTCTATTTGTTTCTTTCTTGGTATCATTAAGATTGCAGCCCATATTGCTACTAACTCAGCTATTGTTAATATTTGCTATCTTTCTAAACCTAGTGCTAACTCTTTTTTTGGCCATTTTTGCATTTCATCTGTTTGCACTTACCCTATACCTATACTGTTTCTGCTTCTTGTATCTTCTTTAGTCTTCAGGTTTGCTGCTTCATCTGTATATATTATATATTTGTTCTTGTTTTTTGTTATATTTCTTCTTAAAACTCCTATTATCTCTTGACTAATACTGTTTTTTAGCTTTTGTCATCTGACTATCTCTACTTCTAGCTTTTCTACTACTCTTAGTCCTTCAAGTTTTTGTTCTCCTATTGCTAATCTGCTTGTTTTTATTATTTCTGTTATTTGATCTATCAGTATCTTGATCTTATTACTGCCTTTTTTTATTAATGCATTAGGAATCACATTAATTCTATTATTTACTCTTATCCATTGTTGGCAGCTATCTTCTTGGTGTTCTTTTTCTCTTATACACCCCTTACATCTGTTGATTTCGATAACTAATTCACTTTCTTTACTCTGCATTTGCCAATGTTCTACTAGTATTTTTTTTTTTTTTTTTTAACTATCTTTCCTAATTGTTGATTGTTTTATGCATCATGTGTTATCTATTCTTTTCTTCTTTTGTCTTCTGAGATACACTTCCATCTCATCTGTATTGCTTGGGTGTTTTGTCTGATTGTTCTATATTGTCTTTTAATTTCTCTATTTTCTGGTCTGATGAGCACTTCTAGTTCTATCACTTTGAACCATTCTGCTTTTTTTCCCTTACTTGATAGGTCTTGGTAACTTTTCAGCTGTTGCCATATAATTAGTCTCTCTTCTTTTGTATCTATTAACTGGTTTAAATATATTATACCTACTTCATTTATTCTTGTACTACTTCTTTTTTGTAGTTGTGTGTTTATAAGTTCTCTTATTTTGATTCCATATCTGAACATTGTTTATAGATTGCCTTCTGTTTTTATATTTATATTAAGTTTTTTTGCTTTTAGCAATGTCAGACAAGCTAAGTTACTTTTCTAACCTTCTATATTTTCTGGTATCTCCTCTATTTTCTATATATCTTCTGTTAAACCTGCTCTTTGGCATTCCTGTGTTATTCTTAATTTTGTTAACTGGCCAAGACTATCTTGTCTATTTAGTCTTGCTAATAAGCCACTTATTTGTTTTGTCATTAACTCTTGTCATAATGTTTTGCAGCTTCCAAGATCTTTGTGTTCCATTACATAGTTTTCTAATATTCTTTGTAGGTTGCTCTTTTGCTTTACTAAACTTATTATTGGTTGATGTATTTTACTTATACTT